TGTCTGCATCTCTTGTTCCTATTCAAAAGGGCACCGGGAAAGATGTAAGCCTGAATGCACGGGCTTAGCAGATGAAATAAATTGGAGCCCAGGGAAATGAGCTCCTCCACTCCTGCTTGGTCAAATCAGAAGGCAAATTAGTCCGGATGCTAATGATGATGTGTGCTCAGCATGCCACGCGGCACGGGATCCACCCTCACCGAGATGAGAGCAAGGCAGGCGCTATTAACAATCGGACAGCCGAACTGGGGAAGCTGCAGCCCAGAAAGTTAGCCACATGACTGATAATTAAATACTCCAAGTCATTTTTCGCCTATGTTAATTTTCAAATCAGTACTGAAACTAAAAAATGACGTATTTTTATCTTGGTAGAAGGACATAGATCAGTTCTTATGATCTTCCCAATTACGGAATCTTCCTTTTTTTTCCAACATAGTGTTTTGTTTGTTATTTTTGATGTAACATAGTTTTCATTTACATATAGTCAAAGGTTTTAGAAATAAAGCATTCACCAAATAAAAAATAAAAAGACCACAGTTAAGCAGGAACCCAATAATCAAATAGACAGTAAGTTTTAAAATAGTCACAAATAACTACCGTATCACATATGGTAGTATGTAGTTCTTAACAATTTGTTTTAGGGTCGGTGCTGTGGTGCAGTGGGTTAAAGCCCAGGCCTGAAGCGCGAGCATCCCATATGGGCGCTGGTTCTATCCCAGCTGCTCCTCTTCTGAGCCAGCTCTCTGCTATGGCCAGGGAAAGCAGCAGAAGATGGCCCAGGTCCTTGGGCCCCTGCACCCATGTGGGAGACCTGGAAGAAGCTCCTGGCTCCTGGCTTCAGATTGGCTCAGCTCCAGCCATTGTGGCCATCTGGGGAGTGCACCAGCAGATGGAAGACCTCACTCTGTCTCTATCTCTCTCTGTAACTCTGTCTTTCAAATAAATAAAATAAAAATCTTTTAAAAAATTTGTTTTGAAAAAACACTACAACTGGAGCATCTTTCTCATAGGGTGTTTTCTCTCTTCATACATACCAGGCACTTGGGAAGAAATGTTTCACTGCTATTTTTCTTGAGTACTGTATTCAGCTCAATTTGGACACTGTGTTTGCTGCTCTTTGTACAAACAGGCAAATGCAATGCATTTCAACCTGTAATTAATTGCACTAAAGGGCCCCCCACCTTTCTCACTGCTTTTCTCAGGAACAAGAGCCAGGGTCTCACACTGGGGTTGTGCAAAGTGTCCCTCTATTGTTTCACTGGTTTTCATTTTTCTTTCTTTCAAGGAAATCTCCTCCCTAAGTCCTGCATTCAAAACTGGGACAAGTGGAAGTTTTACAAGTCTCTTTGGGCCCCTTACACAGTGGTGACTTTATTTCATTTCACTTGCAAATAGTGTTGAGTTATCAATTACTATCTCCATTTCAGCTGAGCCTTGGAGAGCTTCAGTAACTTGCTCAAGGACATAGAGCGGTGAGAGAGACACAGGAGCCAAAGCTGCAGGTATCCAATCAACACATGTGTTCTGCATGACTTGCCCATGCCAGATACAACTGTAGGCGTGTGGGACACATCACCAAACACAGTTCCCCTTCCCTGAAGCAGCTCATGTTCTAATCGAGCAGAAGTGAATGCATGTGTGTCCAATTCTAAAATGGTGTGGGTTTAATTAGACTGCCTGATGGCTCTTCCATTCAAACTCTTTCCTGACATGATCAAAATGGTGTAATTCTTCTTTCATAGAGAATATCTTCATTGGGAGGACTCTTACCAAGCTCCAAAGTATAGATTCAGAAATCACATCTACCTGCCCCTGGGCTATCTACCCATCTCCAGAGAGCTCAAACACTCCCTTAGCCCCAAAGTTGGCTAAGTGCGTGTATATGTATTCTCTCATTTATTTCTCTACACTGTTCCACATGATGCAACCTGGTCAGGAACTATGATCCTGTCCTGTGGCTCATAAAGGCCAAGTTATTCAGGGAGGTTGTGCATCTCAGTCCCCCCCCCCCCCGCCCCGAGTCATATCAAACCTGCTCATTTATTTTCTTTAAATCAATCTGATTCAACATTGAATCCCATGCCCTGCTTGGCTAATGGGGAATTCAACCACAATCACCCTGAAGCTCCCTGCACAAAGCCTTGCCAAGATTTGACCCTTTGAGTTCCATCCTGGTTCAGGGCCATGGTTGTTGAACAGGGAATCACTGCTGGGTGGGGTAAATATAGGTGTTCCTTTTATGGTCTTGCCACCAACCTGGGTAGAAAGGTATAGGCCCCAGGAGATTCTTTAAGCTCTAGACCTTTTTTTTTCCTTCTCCAAAAATTTCTCTTCTATTTTTTGTTTCAGTTACATTTTCCCTCTTCTCACCCTCCAGGATGCATGGAAAACTCTTTTTTTTTTTTTTTTTTTTGGACAGGCAGAGTGGACAGTGAGAGAGAGAGACAGAGAGAAAGGTCTTCCTTTTCCATTGTTTCACCCCTCAATGGCTGCTGCGGCCAGCGCACCGCGCTGATCCGAAGCCAGGAGCCAGGTGCTTCCTCCTGGTCTCCCATGGTGTAGGGCCCAAGCACTTGGGCCATCCTCCACTGCACTCCCTGGCCACAGCAGAGAGCTGGCCTGGAAGAGGGGCAACCAGGACAGAATCCGGCACCCTGACCGGGACTAGAACCCAGGGTGCCGGCGCCGCAAGCACAGGATTAGCCTAGTGAGCCACGGCACCGGCCTGGAAAACTCTCTTTATAAGTCTGGCCTTTGGGAATAAAGCTAGGCTAGGAAGAACCTTGAGAGCAACTCTTCCTCTGAAAAGCCTTCCATACACTCCTTTGTGGGAAATATGCTTGGAGCTGAATATTTGCTAGAGAATATTTATCGGGGAAAAATAGTTAAATTAGTATTTCAAAAATTCCTCTGAGGCATAGCTTGGACCAACTCATCACTTACTACGATGAGTCAGAAATTTAGAGAAGCACATTACTTGTTAACCTCATTTGCGCAGCTCCAAATTCTAACCAGGTGAGGTCTATGATTGTCCCGATCCTGCAGGGGAGGAGAATGAAGCTCATGGGAAAGGTTACGTAATGTTTCCAACACAGCCAGGAAGTGGCACAACTGGGCTTTGCCCGAACTGGTCCCAGGTTGCACTGCTTCCCAAGTATGCTTCTTCCTTCCCTCACCCCTTTATGTCAAGGCCACTGCCAGTTCTCCAACTCTGCTTACACCACAGTCATGGAATTAAATGACTCTTTCACCCAGGGCTTCCTGGCTTCCTTTATGATGCTGATCGAGTTTCTCTGCTGAATTAAGTGATGTTCTACTTTTCTTTTCTACTTTCCTTGCTTGAAATTGGGATGACCCTGCCTCTGCTCAGGTCTTTGTCAAGACCAGTGTTTCTAATATAAGTGTGCAAGTAGATGCTTCCTTAATGCTATTTAGTAAAAACAAACCACAACAAGATGAAGACGTAAATGTTTGGGTTCAGTGGGCTCAGGTTGAGTTCTGGTAGTTCACTTTTAACATAAATTCAGGCTAATTCTTGTGTAGGATGCATAATTTATGCATCACCACCCTCGGGCTTTTCTTCACTTAACTGGTTAATATTTTTGTAAGTCAATGTTGCTTTGGGTACAAGGAACAGATACTCTCTCAAGGTAGTTCAGAGGGACAAGGTGATGTTATGACAAAGAATAGAGCCAGGCCCCTTGAGAACTGAGCAACTTTCAGAGCTGTTCTAGTTTGCTCACTTTAAAGCTCCTTGGGCCTCTCTCATTTCTTGGAGTTTCAGGGTACACAGTTGCTCTACCTCATTTCTATAGACCTGCTTGTGCAGGCAGGACCTATGAGTGAGAAGTCAGTGCTAAGTCCCAAATTTTTCATAGTGATATATAGCATTGCCCTCACTAACTCTAATCTCTGATACTGCTTAAATATCTCACAGGAGAATCTGACCAGCTCAGCTTCCAGCAGCTCCCAGCCTGCAGTCCTTTGAGGTAGTGCTGGCTGGGCTGGTGGAGGGGGATGTGGCCCTGGGAAGTGAGTGTGAGCCTGTAAGCCTGATGCTGAATCAGGAGTTACACACACGGGGGAGGTTTGCTACGGAGACAGCTGTGGGTGGGGATGAAATCATGATGACTCCTACAATATCACAGTGGGAGAAATCCCAAGGCTTTATTTTATCTTGTCCAGTCTCAGCTCAACTGTTTCTAGGCCTCTCTACGAACACTGAGTTCAGTCCAAATGGTTGTTCTCAGAATTCACTCTGCTTCTGGCCTGGCCCTTCTGGGCTTTCCACAGACACCCCCTCCCCCACTTAAGCAGGACCCTGCTTCTGCAGGTGGGCCTCTGCTCCTCCACCATGGCCCGCTCAATCTGCAATGTATTCCCTCTCTTTGTGCTTACTCACTCTTCCTTAAAGTCCTGCAAAGCCTTGCCACCCTTAGGAACAGGATGCTGCGTCTTTCCTCTTTCTTAACCACTCAAACATGTCCTATTGGGTAGTTTACTGGAACTTCATTACATTTGGCCTTCTGCCATCTTCTCTTTTAGACGTCTCATCTTATTTCACCAAACAGAAAGGTTTTGAAGATCAGGTTACATTACAGACAGTGGACTTCCCTAGAGGCTAGAAGAGAATGCCACAGCGTACCGAGGCCACTAAGAAAGTAAGTCAATAATCAGAGGAGGGTGATTTCCTAATGACATAAATGAACTATGAAACATAAAGTGCAAACTCAACGCATCTGAAATATCTGGCCTACAGATACGTAATTTGCTTTATATCTTTTCATGTTCCTTTTCTCCCTGGACTGAAGTTATTTTCATTCAACTGGTAGAGTGGAATTCAGTATCCACAGATAATCATATGGGACAATGTGTTGGTAAGAAAGTGTGTGCTAGAGACAGCTTTCACTGAAAATGTTGTTCCTAAGAAGAATCCCAAATGAAAGGAGACTAGGTAGCATGAGAACATTCAAACATAAGTTAATTTTCAGAGGGATTACCTCGTAGCCAAGCAAATGTCCGTTGCTTAGCTTCCAAGGAACGGTGTTCCATGAAACTTCGATTTCTGAGGAAGACAGGCTATTTGCAGAAACTTGGGATGGGGCCACTGTAGGCTCTGTTTGAAAACAAAAATCAAACTACAGTTATAATCTTGGCAGTTAATTTAAAAATATATTGGAGTTTTTATTTTCAATAGATCATTTTAATGTATGTGAAAAACCTAGAAAATATTCTATACAGTGTTTGAAAATGCGCAGGACATCTTGCAAATATGGACACCAATCCATTTCTTAAGAAGAGGTGGCATCATTGCCATGGGCCTTTCCTTGTGAAATAGGGAGAGCCACCTGCGGTTTCCTGCCTTGCACCCATTTCTGGGTGTCTTCCTTCTCTTCTGTTTTCCCTTTGTTCCCTCTGCCCTGTCTTCATTTCCTTCTTGTCCATCCCACATCTGCTGCTTAGGAATTATTATGCTCCCAAATATTACCAATTTTTTTTTTGTCTTGCAAAGCAAATGTCAAAGCCAAGTTCATTTACTCACTAGGCATTGATTGAGTGCTTTCTATAGCCTAGGCCCACAGAAGGGGTGCTTTGAGATAGATGGCCTGCTCTTCTGATGCAGACAGACATGTGTAGAGCTTAATAAACACTCTTGGAGTTTTACGGGGTTCACAGTAATTGTCCCTTCTCACAGCACCACTCTGAGCAGGAATCTCATCTCCTTCAATATCCATTTCTGTATTAAATGATCCTGCTCCCTGGCCGTGGCTGATTTATGCTAAGACAGAGCCTTGGTCTAAGGCATTGGAGGAGCAGACCATTTTCTGAGTCCCTAGAGCTTCTCTGATTAAGGTTCTTCATGAGGTTTGCTGCTTAACTCTTCCTTTAATTTCATGAGATGTCCTTGTGTATTTCCAATAAATCTCTCACTTTTGTTCTTAGGAAAGCCAAATCTATTTCTGAGGTTTGAACAGAAAGATCTTTAACCAACTCATCCGTAGGAGCATGGTAACAGGAGAAGGAAAGGGGATAGACGATAGGGATAAAAGGCCTTGATTATTCCCGCATGCAGTGTGAGCCCTCAGGGCCTAGGTGCACAGGGATGGCAGTGTCTGTAAACTCTCTGGCTCATGGTCATTGCTTCTCAGACCTTGACCTGCCCTTGTAATCCCTGATATGTTCTGAACATGGGGTCTGCCTATGCATACCCAACTCCTTTTGTGAACACTTTAATAAAGCAGTCCAAGCGTTTATGGATTCTGCAGGTGAGGATTAAACCAAAAGTCAGCAAAAAATATTCCCAAAAATAGTGTCTGCACTTAACATGGAGATTTTATGGTTGTCATTATTTCTAAAACAATATAGTGTAACAACTATTCACATAAAATTTATATTCTATTAGGTGTTATAAGTAATCAAGGGATAATTTAAAGTATACGGGATGGTGCATAGAGTTTATACACAAATACTACACCACTATAGAAAAGTTTATTTGACAGGCAGAAAAAGGAGACAGTTTGGTAGGAATATGGATGGATAGATAGATAGATAGATAGATAGATAGGTAGGTAGATAGAAAGATAGATAGATCGAGTTCACTACCCAAATGCCTGTGCCAGGCTAAAGTCAGGAACTGGAATCTCAATCCAAGTCTCCTATGTGGGTGGCAGGAACCCAAGTATTTGAGCCATCCCCACTGCCCCTCAGGGTCAACATTAGCAGAAAGCTAAAATCAGGAGCTAGAGCGAGGAATAGAATCCAGGCACTTGGACAGGGGACAAGGGAGTCCTAACCAATATCATAACTGCTAGGACAAATGCCCACCCTTACTACACCATTTTATATAAAGGAAGTTAGCAGCAGTAGATTTCGGTATCCATGGGTATCCTGGAATCAATCCCTTATAGATACAGAAGGATGTCTGTACCTGTTTTCATCCTTCTCAGTATGTGGTGAAAATGAGAAGACAAGAAAGAGGTGGGAGTCCTAAGAAAAATGGACTTCTTCTTTTTAGGAATGATAACCGTGGACTACTTTCTTAGAAGTCACTGCAAGTCTAGAGAGTAGGTGAGATACTGCGGTGTTATATTTCACGATCTCAGAATGGTTAAAACTAAAGGCACTGGGTTAAAATGCTGGCTCTACTACTTACTCTACCGGTTCTGGCAAACTTAATAGTGTCTTTCACCAGGTTTTTATTTTCTCATTTGTAAATGAGGAACAACAATAGTGCCTACTCCTCATTCCTCATCTGAACATTCTGGTAGATGGTGAGCTTTCAATACTTGGTAGCTCCTGCCATTTTCATTGCGGGAATTATATGAGATAGCCAACATTCAGTTCTATAAAATGGCTGTTTCATATGATTCTCTTATTTTATTACAACTTTTCAAAGTGGTCTTAAGAGAAATCGTAGCTGTCTCAATATCTGGAGTGTGAGAGTCAGAGAGAGGGAATGGGTTCGGAATGAAGTATGTGTGTATCTATCTACACCATTTGGAGCTCACGTCCCTCAAGCCTGCATATTCCAAGTCTCTTGAATGCCATGTGTCTGGTCCTTCCTCTTCACTTGGCATCCTGTAAATGTCTTTTTCCCAGGCCATGGGAACCACAATATAACTCAGGACTAGGGTAGCTCCAAGGGAATATCTTATTTTTACTCCACAAAGAAGGAAGAGTTGTGCAGAGTTGTGCAGCCATTCCCTGCTTCACAACGTGGAACAGAGGATGTATGAGTCCCCCACAGCTTTAACTGATGGCTATATCCTTTGCAGATGCACTGACCTGTACGTCAGGACACTTACAGTGAGCTTTGTGACCTGAACCAGAAATCTAATAGAAACATCAGTCTCTATTCTCCTGGAAAAATAATATCTGACATGGGACTAGCACTTCGCTATCGCTTTTTGCAGCATATAGCTTGTGGATGTGGTTGGCCCTGATACATCACCCTGCATTCCCTACCTTCTTCTGCAGAGAACACTGTTGCCACTGGGCTGAACGGTCCTTCGCCTCTGTTGTTGTAAACACCCACTTTAACTTCGTAGGGGGAAAATGGCACAATGCTTTCATTTCTGAAGACGTATCTCGGGGTGTCAGGGGATGTCACCACCGTCTGGATCCAGGTGGTAACCCCAAGAGGGCGGAAAGCAACCACATATCCAAAACCTTCACCGTTCTGTAGTTCTTCAGGGACTGGCTATAAAGGAAAGACATATTAAATCACCCTTACATGGGAGAGCAAGGCAAAAATGAATGAGCTACAGCCCTAATCTTTCATAAGAGTCATCAAATAGTAATCTGCATGTATTAAGCAGTTGGGTTTTTAAAAAAGGAGATAAGTATCAGTGGGACAATCAGATCAGCTGCTTTTTTCCTTGACATATGCTACCCCTTCACAGGTATCCAGTTAATAAACTGGATTTTCTGTGATTCTTCGAAACATGCTGGTATCTTAATTTAAATAAAAATGATCTGACCCCTAAAGTAGATTTCACGGGAAGAAATTACACATTTATAAAATGACTGCATACAAACTGGTAAAACAAAAAAAAATGGATAAGAAAGAAAAAGAAAAAGGGAGTAAATGCAAGCTTATTACTCAGTGCTCTGGGGTCACGTAAAATGCTGACACTCCATCACAGCCTCCTGACTCTTGATTTTTTTTCATCACCAATTTCAAGTAATACAGATAATTCAAGTACCTTCTGATGTTGAAAGTGCTAATTAATTCTTTCCCCCATTAATGACAAAGTAAGAGCTCAGAGAATTGCCAGGAAAGGGACAGAGACCCAAGAACCTGCTGGATTGTATGACAGCGTTGGTGAGGTGTGCAGGGTAGTGGTGGTAGATCTGGGAGTAGCATGAGAGTCAGCACTGGGGAGCTGACTCTCATCCCCAAGTTTACCAGCCAGATGACCTTGAGCAAATTGCTAATCATCTCTGCACCTTACCGTTTTCATTTACAACATGCTATAAGGATACAAAGAGATGAATATGTACAAAATGAAAGCAGCAGTGGTTGACCCAAAACAAATACTGAAAAACGTTAATTACTAGTGCGTCCATCACCACGGGCAACACCTGTAATACCAGCGACACCACCATCACCACAAACAACACCAGCACCCTCAGTGCATTGCAGCGTCTCCTCCTCAGGTACCAGCACCACCTAGGAGGGGTGAGTGAGGATGGTGAGAACAGCTTTGCCCTGCTGAAGTAGGCACTTACGTCCCACGTAATCACAAGCTCCGACCGGCTTCCCCCTCCGCCACTGACTTCAGAAGGTGGCACCTCAGGAACTATGTAGGGCAGAGAGACAGAGATGAACCCTATTTGCATACAGCAATATGTATCTGAAAGAAGATAGTATGCGGCACATTTCGTATTTGACACATTAGACATACATGTATTATGAGAGCACTTCAAAGCAGTTCATGGAAAATGGAACTGAAAGATCAACGTATTTTGATACAAAAATAATTTTTAAATCCATGCATATAGGAATCTTCAAAAAAAATTCATGGAAATGCTTATTAGGAAAAAAACCATGCATAGAATTCCAAGTTTTTGATGCTAACTCAATTTCCATGAACTTCTGAGGTACTATCATGCATGTGTATGTTTGCATGAAATTATATAAATGTTTTGAGGAGGTCATCAGATATTTTTTATTTGCGTGAGATTATAAAAGATCCCAAATCTCTCAGTCAGTCAGAACAAAGGAACAGTTGGAAGTATTCTGCAAACTAGTATGAGAGATAGTAAAAGTAGGCAAAGCTATTCACCAGCAGGGATGATGGGAAACCAATCGAATATAACATTTAACTTGTGACTATTCTAAGTGGAAACATAACTCTCAAAACCATCTTGGCTTCACATAGGAATGACTCCATCTCAGATCCTTGAATCTTGTTAGGAGGTATCCTTTGTAAATCCCACACAAGCATTGGATGTCTCCTTTTTACACTGAGGACTTTCTGCTTAGAAAACCCCAGGACACCACTAGGATGTACATTCCATAAAGGTAGGTCTTTGTTCTGCTCACAACTGTATCTGCGATATCTGGGCGGTACTGAGCACATAGTAGATTCCCCCTAAATATGGGTGGTGTGAACAAAAGAAAAAAGACCAAGGCAGGCACAAACCTCCTATTTCTCGTAACAGCTGGCATAGACATGTGCAACACCCAGAGGGAAACAGCATCATCGAAATGACTGAAGCATAATCCATTACTTCTACATCGGCTTAGTTTCCACAGTGATATATCAGCTCTCCTTCAAACTTCATTTCAGTTAATATTAATTATGACAGATTCTGAACAGAAAAATCTTTAGCTCTGTCTGCAATGCGATGCCTGTAGACATGTCCTGATTTTGAGTTTTCCTGTTTTTAGCACTATAAAATTTTGTTCGGGTGTACATTAACAGTTCCCTCCCATGGAAATTCTTAACAACGATCCTTTCTTAATCTAACACTTGAGGGGCCAAAACACAGCTATTCATCAACCTTGTAAGCTCATCTACTGAGCTTGGTGGCAGAATGAGGCTTCCTAGCCGCAGACCTCCCAAATGTCATTATCCTCCCAATTTGTCAACGCTTGTTACAAATGAAAACAGTGCTTCTCCTGTTAACAGGGTAACTGTGTCAGATAGTAATTATAACCTTAAGTGACAAAAACATATTCACTCAACATGCACTAATGAGCATTTATGATGGACTGAATGAACTCTTGGAAATGTCACACTGCATCAGAATCACTTACACATGTTGCTTTTGACAAATGCCATATGGCCAGTACTGCCATTAGAAAGGTCAGATAATTGTGACAATGGATTATCGAGGTGATGCCTGCTGGCTTGGAGACCAGGGCCAAGGGCAGTGGAAATATACACTTTGGAAAAATCTATGAACCCATTACTCAGAAAACAGAAACACTAACCTGCCTCTTCAGTTCTTACTTTTTCTGAGGGCAAACTGGGTTCTCCACCTCCGATTTTGTTACTGGCTACAACCCGAAATTCATACTCCACCCAGGGGTTTAACTCAACAACAGTGGCTGTGTGTGTTTTCCCATCGATGACCTCAGGCACTACAGAAGAATAGGTGAGAGATTAGGAACTGCATACTTCAGCACTGACTTGAAGCCCACAGCACCTGCCTCCCCTACTACCTGTTGTGACGGCTTGCCAACCCACGGAGAAAGGTGTCCTCGCCTGGATAGAATAGGTGATGATGGGGCTGTGGTTGTCTGTACCTTCCTCCCAAGACAGTTGGGCGGTTGTATCTGTAATCTCAACTACCTTCACATTTTCCGGTGGCCCAGGTGAACCTAAAGAAGGCAAGAATGCAAACAGTGGGTAGCAATTCCATAAATGTCACGCTGTTTGTACCAAAGTGAAGAGTGTGTCGTGTGATCACTGCAATACCTCCGACGGATACCAATTTCAAAAGCACTTAAGGAAAAAGGCCATTTACCTGGCAATAAAACTAAGAAAATCTTTTTCCAAATTTCGGTGGTTAAGATTTTTAAATCTGGACGTGAGGTGGTAATTCCAAAGCTATAGACTCCGTGAGTGCAGATGACACCTGCTTTTTGGAGGTCTCTGTTCAGTGGGATTCCTGTACCCTTCTAAAGTCAAAGTCTTTTATACTCGGTGTGATGTCCTTCCCTTTAACACGCTGGTTACCGGTGTGATATCTAGAGGTGTTTCCCTCTGTGCTGCACTCTGGTCACTCATTTTTCAGCCCAGTAGCCTATCAGTACCCTGGACAGTAGCTCGGGTGAGCAAATTTTCTCAGGCATTCTGGATAACCTGGATTATTTTTGAAGCAGACATATAAGCACAATGTTGCTTCTGATATTAAATGAAACTGCTGAACATCGGCATGGCAGCAGTTGTGGAATGCCCATTGTAATGACAGAGCTCTTTGGAGGGCAGAGTTGAGATGTTTATTTCACGGAATTCGCACAATCTTCACGGTCATACAGACATCCTTAGTGTCATATGGAGGGAATCAAACAAGACTACAACTAGGATGCTTGTATACTATTTCACCACGGGATTTTATCCTGCAGTGAAGAATTCTTAGTGAAGATGTGAAGTTAAAAACATGTAGATAGGGCCAGTGTTGTGGTGTAGCGGGTAAAGCCACTGCCTGCAGTGCCAGCATCCTATATGGGCGCCGGTTTGAGACTCAACTGCTCCACTTCCCATCCAGCTCTCTGCAATGGCCTGGGAAGGCAGTAGAAGATGGTCCAAGTTCTTGGGTCCCTGCATGCCCAGGGGAGACCCGGAGGAAGCTCCTGGCTTCGGATTGGTGTAGCTCCAGCCGTTGGTGGCCACCTGGGGAGTGAACCAGCAGATGGAAGACTTCTCTCTCTCTCTCTCTCTCTCTCTGCCTCTCTGTAACCCTGCCTTTTAAATAAATAAATGTCTTTTAATAAAACCATGTAGAGGTATTAATGTTTACCTCTCACTATGAGGTCGGCAGCAGATGAAACGCTGTCCACTCCTGTTTGCACCATACAGACATACTTCCCACTGTGCTTCAGCTGAATGTTTCTGATCATTAAATCCCCAGATGAACTCTGTTGGAAAAACAGGTAATGAACACACGGTCATTTTAAAAACACAAAGAATCACGAAGGCTGTGGCCAACAAAAACACCACAATGAAATCCATACTTAAAGAGAAAGTCAAGCTGGTACAAGACAAAAGAAAGCTACAATAGAATATAGGGAAATAAAAACAAGTTAAAAAAAAAAAAAAAACCCATACATGACTGCAGACAAAGATTTCTGTAGACAAATAAATGACGCGCTTTCCCCTGGGCACTGATGGTTTCAAAAATAAATGAAGGCAGAGATTACAGTCTCAGAGTCCATTTACTTCCACCAGGGTGACATGTCTTTTTATATCCACGGCTCAGCACCAGCTCAACTGTTTTCTCTGGTTGCAACCCCTCTGCAATTATCTGCCCGAGAAGGAGGGAAGCGCTCAGGTATCTGGTGGGAGATAACTGCAGCACGACAAGGGGATTACCACGGTTCAAACTCTTTTCTGAACACACTGGAGCTTAAAAAGCCTAAAGCCATTTAATTCCTTAGCGAAAAGAATTTAGGGACAGTCACTATGAACCCCTCAATAAAAAGAAATTAAAACACCTTAAAACTTAAAAATAACAGCTGTCCATAAAGACATTTGCTGGCACCCCCGGTGCCAATTAACGGAGCAAATGTATTTCTAAAAGCTCAATGTTAAATGGTCCTCATTTAAAAAGAATGTAAAATCATGTTCATAAAATGACTAACTGCAGGCCAGTTTCACGCATTAGTAAATATATGGATTGAACTAAAATGATTTGGAAAGCAAAGTCCTTTGAAAATGACTGCCAGTCCAGGTCTGAATTGGTAGCATGTAAGAAGCAGTGAGTGTTTATATTATTAATTAAAAGGGGCAGTTCTCCTCTAGGGTTTTCCTGGTATGTGTAGAAAGACAAGTTCTACCTGTTTCTAGGGTATTTCCTAAAATCTTCCACTGGGCAAATGCTCACATACTGATTTCAACCCTTAGGATTCTTAATGGGCTATATATTCTCCGTTGGCTGGATTGTACAGCTTTTGATGGAATTTCCTGGGTACTGGGAGAAAGCAGATGTGAGGTGATTGATGGCTATAATTAAATGATAATCCAGAAACTGTTAAGTTTGCACATTTTACTTTCATCAAGTGAACTTTTTTCGTTCCCTCCCTCCTGCTCTTTCTCCTCAGGGTTATTTAGAAATTTATCCCCAGGACAAAACCTTGCATGCTTGCTGACCTTTAGAAACTCTTCAGGTTTTATGAGCACCATATACTCACAGGAGGGCAATTATCATTTCTATGGAAATCTCTTATTTTCAGTGAAGAACTGTTACTATTAAATGCCATCAAGGCATCAGGGTGAGGCTGTTATTCTTCCCTCCCTTTATTTGCTTATTTTGAAAGCAGCTGGGTAAAATGCAATTGCAACAGGACTTCTTTTATAGTCTTCAGCATCTAGACAAACCTTTTAGGCACACTGGCAGGTGTTGTTTCTTGAAGAAATAAGGGAAAGTTTGGTACCGGGCTTGTAACTTCTGCTCACTTTTGGTATGGATGGGTGAAGACAGAGATATCACTTAACTAGATAATAAAAAACCAAACCATCTTCAACAGAAATGTAGTCAGGCTCACTCTCAGGGGAAATATGATTTTTAATTATCCTTTTACATTGCAGAGTAGCTAAAGGAAGCAATTAACTAAGATATTTATACAATGGGGACCACTGATTTTTTTTTCCAGCACCAACATGGAGTTGAATGAATGAATACATAAATGGAAAAGAAAATTTAGCAAATGGAGGGAGCTTGCCTTAACTTTTGTCTGTCTCAATAAAACATACTTGTATTCTTTCTCTTTTACTGTTTTCTCATTCCCATACTATTGTCTTCTAATGGAGTATCTTAACAAAAGTACAACCAGTGCTTGTTTCATTGGATTTAAAGAGAGAAATATTTACTTCATGGCCCTGAGGATATGAACTCAAGCCAGGGCAAGAAGGCACATATATGTGGGGCACGTTATGCTTACAGACTTAGAAAGTTTAACAAAGGTTTGATCAAATCACATAGCACACACCATATATAGACAACTACAAAAAGTACTGGTGAAGATGTGGAACTGGAGCTCTTCTTCCTGCTGTTGTGAGCATAAGCTGGTTCTACTACTTTATAAAACTGCTTGGGCGTATCTACTAAGGTAAGAAATACACATAACTTATGACCTGTCAATTCCATTCCTAAGCATATACCCTATAGCTATGCATACATATGTCCTCCAAAAGACATGTACAAGAATGTTTATAGCAACACTATTCCTGATAGCTAAAAATGGAGACAACCCAATGTCCACTGCAGTAACATAAATAATTAAGTAGTGGGATATTTAATGAAACACTATCAGGCCATCAAAATGAATGAACTATGTGCATAGATCAACATGTCTCAGTGTCAAAACCACAAAGGATGGGTATAAAATATATTGAAGAGTATATGATAGTAATGTCATATGAAACGTCTAGATTGTGGCTATTTTCATGTTTGTGCATTTTATGTAGACTTTAATGTAGTTATGATTATGTACAACTATGCTTCCGAAGGGTCAGTTTTCAGTAGCTTTAAATAGTCAATGAACTTAACTGTACTCTAAATCCTAATTTCTTTCACAAAAAGATCATAGTATAAATTAAGAGTGGGAATATGAGAGGGAGGAGGAAGAAGGTTTAGAGCATGGATGGGAGGGAGGGTAGAGTGGGAAGTAGCACTATGTTCCTAAATCTGTATACACGAAATACATGAAACTTGTATAGCTTAAATAAAATAAAAAAAGAAACATTCATAAATAATTTAACTGAAAATACTATTGATTTATAGATTATAATTTCTTATCAAGATGCAATTGAATATTCCCAGATATTTCAAAAACAGATTAAAAAACAAAAGGAAATTTTCACTGTATCAAACCATTTTCTGCCCTTTTCACTTTGTCATTGCTTGTGGTTAGAATATTATTACTGAAGAGATTAAAAAAAAGAAAAAAATGACCCTGTGTATCAGTTTTGCTGCAAAAACAGTGTTTAGTCAAACCTTTAAAAAAATCTTAGGTCAGACAAATTGATAGGAATTGTAAACTGCTACAGTTTTAATGATTTTGTGATTTTAAAAATTTACTATATATGAATGAAGTTGAATATCTTTTGAATATGGTTTATGATTGTTGCTTATTTTCCTTTGGGATTATGATCTTTTTACATTTTATTTGTTGAACTCTTTAGTACAGCCATTAAGCCTTTGACTACAATGTAAATTAAAAATATGTTACCTCAAAAAAATAAATATTAAGTTGAAAACAAACAAAAACAGTGATAAAGGGGAAGGGAGAAGACTGTCTAGAAAAACTCAAGTGAAATTGGTAAAATGTCATAAAATGCTATTTGATAGATTATTTTTCAAAATATTTATCAATAAACCACATCTAATATTTAGACATATTTAAAACCATTCTTGCCCTTCTTTAGAGTAGAAAAGTGATCTGGGGCTGGTACTGTGGCAAAGAGGTTAAAGCTACCGCCTGCAGTGCCAGCATCCCATATGGGTGCTGGTTCAAGTCCCTGCTGCTCCACTTCCGATCCAGCTCTCTGCTATGGCCTGGGAAGGCAGTAAAAGATGGCCCAAGTCCTTGGACCCCTGCACTCATGTAGGAGACCCAGAAGAAACTCCTGGCTCCGGGCTGTGGATCGGCCCAGCTCTGACCATTGCGGCCATTTGGGGAGTGAACCAGTGGATGGAAGAGCTCTCTCTGCCTCTCTGTAACTCTGCCTTTCAAATAAACAAAATAAAAATCTTTAAAAAAAGTGATCTAAATAAAACAAAAATAAGGATATTAATAATCTTTAAATAAATTCTTAAAGAACACTTTCAGCTTTTTGTATAAAAATAGCTATACTTTACATTCTGTTTAATCAGCTGATGAAGTCTTTGTGTTTTTCTTTTTCTAAACTCTCTTTTTCCTCTTCTTACCTGAAGTAAAACGGACCAGAATTGGGAAGGTGCAGAGTCCAAGCTTCCTTTCCTTTTCTTCCCATTCCTACTTCCCTTAGAACCCTCCCCTCCAAGCCTGCAGTGGAATTTTCAGTTTTCCGGAAGGCAAATCCCCTTCCACAGCGCTGCCAACTGGCTGACTCGGAAAAGGAACCTCTGGCAGCAACTTAGGGAGGAGTTTGCAAAGCAGGAGACTTTCTTCTTCATTCCTCTCAAAGGCACTGTCTTTTAAAAATATTCCTTTAACAACTACTTAGTAAGAACTGCTTGATATTAGTCTCCAGAGGGACCATGCTGAGAAGGGAAGAAAACAGTCCTTGTGTTCAGGGAGCTTCCAACTGGAAGACAGAAATCAATCAAATGACTCACAAGTCCATATAGAATTAGGGTGCAGTCCAGGCTCAAAGTGCTTACAGGGATCTATGATTTTCTGGGAGCTCTGCTGAAATCAAAGACAAACTAAGATTTGCGAAACAAGTAGAAATTATCTAAGAAATGAGAGTATGAAAAAAAAAGAAACTGGCCTGCACCAGGGCACACATCCCGTGCTAAGATGAAGAAGCAGGAGAAGGCAGTCTGTTTGAGCAACTCAGGGGAAGGGACAGGTAAACAGGGTTGGGATGATGGGGGTACCGGGGACATAGTCAAACCACAAATGGTTAAACAGTCCTCAGGAAATGAAAAGTTTACTGTAATGGACTGCAAGTTCATATTTATATCCTAACAACAGACAGTAAAGTTCTTTATTTTTTAAATTTTGGGGTATTTTTACAATCTCTAAATTTTGTTAGCATAACCGTCCTATTCTAATATTAAAGTTTTTCCTAGAAAAAAAGTTGTATTTCAAGAACATTCTATGGGGCCAGCGTTGTGGTGTGGCAAGTTAAGCTGCCTCCTGCAGCGCCAGCATCCTATGTGGGTACCAGCTCAAGTCCTGGCTGCCCAACTTCTGATCTAGCTCCCTTCTGA